GATTTAGATAAACAAAGAAAGAAAGAAAGAAACTGGTTAAAGATCCTAAGAAGGCCCAGACATTTAGTGGGAATTACCCATGTTAATAAATTTGCAAAAGAAGGGCATATTTCCTGGAAAATGATTCTTAATTAAGCTTTGTATAATGGCTCTTACCACAGTTATTTTATAGAGCTTTTAGTCTTATGAAAGCAATTAAGAATTATGAGAGAGGGGGGAAATAATATTTTTTTAAATCTCAAAGATTTGTTGAAAGTAGACAAAATGGGAAGAAGGAGTTATACAGATTCTGAATTCCACACTTTAAAAAGGACTCTTGGTTTTTCCAACATTTTTCTTTTTAGGTGTGATAGAGATGATTCCTTCCTATTTCGTCATTCCTTTATACACTTTGAAAGTAATGGGGCATCCAGCTATTACCTTATCCTTCTTTATTACTTTTATTCTCACGCGCACATAGATACAAAAGCTGGAGATCAATAATTAAGTCACTACCTCCTCCACTTCCCATCTTTGGATCAGGAGCTACACAGCAACAATATAAGCAGCAGCAGCAGCAGCAGCAGCAGCAGCAGCAGCAGCAGCAGGGCTCATGTTTTGACTAATCAAGAAGCATATCCTTTCTGGCAAATTGGCAATGAAGTCACATCCTTCATAGTCAGAGAACTACAAGTGCTCCCCTCCTTTAACATGAAGTAGCCTTACAGGACTTTACATCAGGCAATCTCTGCAGGGCTCTTGTAGGCGACAATCAGCAGTTAATCTGTGGCATCCCTGAACTTCTGAGGTTATGCAGAAAAGGGCTAATAGAGTTCTACACTTCCCCCGCCTATTAACTTTCTCCTCCATTTTTCCTTTGTGCCATGTGAAAAAAATGTTTGGAGTGCTCCAAATAATACTTTAGATGTGTCACAGAGAATGAAACCAAACAGTGCTTGGTGTCCATCTTGAAACAGAGTTGTACAGGAATGCAGGGTTGCTGTAGTTAATCATCACAATGACCCTGTGAGTTAGGTAAGGCTGAGAGTTAGTTCCTCTTCTTTTCCCTCTCATTTTCTTTTTAGTTAACCCCCCTCCTCCGTAGCTGCTTATTCTTGAATTTCTCATACTGGTGACACCCAGTTTAAGAGCCTTTCTACACATGCAACCTTTTTAAAAATATGGCTCATCAAAGCTTCCCTAAAGAACAAAAGATAATGCCAGTGGCAGGATGGTGTAATGTATGTATTCATCACATGGGCTTTATAAGTTCCAAAACCTAATAAACATTGAATGAGGAAAATTGTGACTTAAGGTGATGTATTATAACGAGAAGGTCCTCTCCACAATTTGTAGATGGCCAGCTTGAAAAATTTCACATTATAATAAAGAGGAATCAATTATATTTTTTCTCTTACTTGTCTTTTGGATCTTCAAAACCCTGAAAAGAAAAAAAATATATACAAATTAGCTAGCAGAATGAGCTCAAGTACAATGAAGAATTCTGAACCATTACCCTACTAAATACTTCCATTTGTCCATATCACGGTGATAACAGTCATGCCAAAAGAAGGCAACATTATCAGTTATGAGTCAAAGAATAGAAATGTTTTGTAAAGTTCAACATAAAGGCTATAAAGTTGGTCATTTAAACTTATGTGCCATACACCAGCTGATGTAAACATCATATTGTTCTATCTAAAACTCTTCCACAATGCACTGTGGTTCATTTTTTTTACTATGTGTCCTTACAAATGATGTATTAAAATAGTGACTGACTGGTAGATCGATCTGGATGTTTACCTTGTAAAAAACTGAAATCATCACTGATACCAGCCAGTGCATTCTGAATGATTAATTAACTCAATCAAACTTGTTTATATTAATTCAAACAATCAATATAAGTAAAAAATAATAATAATTGATTCAGTAGCACCTTAGAGACCAACTAAGTTAGTTCTGGGTATAAGCTTTCATGTGCATGCACACTTCTTCAGATACCAGGTATCGAAAGAAAGAAAGAAAGAAAGAAAGAAAGAAAGAAAGAAAGAAAGAAAGAAAGAAGCTTGGGCAAACCAGTCCTTCAGTGGCCCCCTTCTTGTTATATTCAAAATTGCCAACAATTTCTGAGTTACCTTGGGAACAGAACAGCAACTGCTCATCTCTGCAAAGATCTTGCTGCAAAAATATCTCCCTGATTATGTTCAGAAACATGACACTAGCATAAAAGGGGGAAAGAGCACTCTCCCAACCTCCTCCCCCCCAAAAAAGAGTGGGAACTAAACTCCTCTGTATATCTCACAGATATATGCCAAAAATATGATTCTTGGCTACTTGGTAAATATTAGCTTGTCCTGGGTCTACTTTGTTTTGTTTGGACTGGGAAAAGGAACCCTTAAAGCAACAAACAGTGAAGGCATTTCAGAGTAGAGGTTTTCCTAAAGCTGATGGTAGACACTGGCCACACTCATGTTTGGCACACAATCTCTATGTCAATCACTTCCAGATCTCTTCCACTTTGGCTAGCTAATGCTCAGGAGACAGCTCCTCAATTGCTCTGTGCCGAGACTCCTGGAAAAAGAATTACCCACTCCACAACACCACCATCAAGGAAACCACGGCAACAAACATTGCTACAAGAGAGAAGAATCTTTCACAACTGAGGACACTCCCCATTTGTTGCTTTTTAAGGGGAACAATTTCTCCTTAGGAAAACCCATACTGGAGGTGCCATTGACATAAGAAGAAACATGGGCGCTGGCCCATCTAGATCAGTACTGTCTACGATGATGAAGCATCTTTCCAGAATTTCCGAGGGGAAATTCCCAGCCCTACCTGGAGATACTGGTAACTTGAACATGGGATCTTTTGTGTGCAAAGCATGTGGCCTGCCACTGCTCTCCCTCCACATATATAACCTATGTATGAAAAGCAACCCATAAAAATTGAGAAAGGCTGTTCACATAAAACAGGGGTAGGGAACCTCCAACCCATTTGGCCTGCCAGACTGTTTCGGTCAAGTCACACTCACTTGCCCCACATCTGATGTCATATCAGGTACTGGAAACGTAAAGGCAGAATTTGGACAATAGGAACTTTGCCAGCACCATGGATCAGCGGAGTCTGTACAGTGCTTCTTACGTGCCAACTATCAGCTGAGTGTTGGCAGTGCTGAAGTCATGTGTGCAGTACTTTCCAAGCTCCAAATAACAGCTGATTGTCAGTGTGTGGGAAGTGCTGCAGCACAGTTTTCTTGCCTGTATGGTTCAATTTCAAATCATGCAGGTAAAAACGGGTCACCTGACATCATCATAACGTCAGGTGATTGACAATTAAGCAGCCGTTCCCACCCATTAAGCTCGGCTCAGAGGTGCCTGGAAATAACTTCTGATTGGCTCACAGGGGGAGAGTTTCCCACCCCTGATATAAAGCTTCTTTATTCAAGCCAATTTTCAAATTGTCACCTTTACTCACACACACACACACACACACACACACACACGGATACAAACAAAATCGGGCCTGTGGATTTGTGGAAGTACACACTTTAACATAATCTTGGACAGTAAGATCGTGATTTGGAAACAAAGTAATGGAAACAAAGTAGGTGAGCTGTCCAGTCTTGGCTGGTTAGTGACAGCTGCAAATCAATGCCAAGTTCAGGAGAATGGAACAACAGATGATTTCGGATGAGGGGGCAAGCCAAGCTACAAATTAGAAACAGAGACATGAAGCAATGCTTAAAAGGGAGAAGGAACCAGAAGATGCTCCAGGTAGGCCAGCTACCTGTGGTCTGATGAACAGCATGAAGATGTAAAATTACAAGGGAAAGAGATAAGAACAGTATCTCATGTGAAAGGTCGTATTTCCTTTTAACTTAATAAGCAGTTTCCTTACATTAAAAACGTAAGAGACAACAACTATGAAACTCTTGATTCTCTCTCACACATGGGGCAACCTGCCCCACCAATTCAAGCAACAAGAGACAGTGAAGTATTTTACTCCTGTCTTCCTCCAGCGGGAAAACAAGTCATGGAGCAACTGTGTTAGCATTATATCTGAACAAGTGAAGGTTTGTTCTAGGGAGGTAATATAAAACCACACATGGGGCCCAGGAGGTGCTGTGAAACCTGGGGCTGATCACCAGCCAGCTTCAGCTGCCTCAAACCCCATGCAGCCCCACAAGGTGGTTCCATAGGGAAAGGGTTAGAACTGTTTGTGAACTAATATGTTTTACCATGGTTTATGGCGTAACACTGTGCCCAAACATAACCACGGTGTTGGAAAACAGCACTGAGAGTGCTGAGCAAGTTATTTTACTCATATACCTGCAGATGGTGCGTGTTCATGACCTCAGACTCTTTTATTTGACCCAGTGTGATAAACTGCTACTTTAGCAATGTTTGCTTTGCACTGTAGGCTAAGTAACTTCTGTTTTATGACTTATTTGGTATGTACCGTATTTTTCGCTCTATAACATGCACCCGACCATAACACACACATAGTTTTTAGAGGAGGAAAATAAGAAAAAAAATTTCTAAACGAAACAGTGGATGTATGATTTTTGTGGTTCATGCTGTGGCCACAGACATGTGATCTGACAGTGAGTTTGGAGTAGCCCAATGCAAAAATCCTGAGGATCCATGTGGCTCCATGCTTTGTAACCACGTTTTTGCACCACTGCGGCCCCAGGCAACAGTGGGTGCGTGATTTTTTTGGTGCAAGATGTAGCCATGGACATGCTATGTGATCTGATGGTGAATTTGGGGTGACCCAGTGCAAAAATCTTGAGGATCCATGTGGATCCGTGCTTTGTAACCACGTTTTAAGTGGGGAGGGAAGGAAAAGCACTCAAGGGACAAGGAGCACACGTGGGGTGGGTGGAGAAGGATGCTGCTAATAATGAAGAAGAGGGGTATAAGGGGAGAAGGCTCCTCTCCTCTTCCACTTTGCACCTTTAAAGCAAGCAGGCTCTGCTTTTCTTCCTCCTCCCCGCTCATCCCCGGCTTAGCAAGGTGAAAAACTTTGCTGCTATGTAGCGAGCTGGGTGGGGAGGAGAGAGGGACAGAGAGCCTGCTTGCTTTAAAGGAACCAACCGGACAGGGGCCGCTTACACTCGTGCTCCTCTCCCGCTTTGCTCCTTTAAAGAAGCAGGCGCTCTGTCCCTCTCTCCTCCCCACTCAGCGGCTCTTCTCCCGCTTTGCTGTTTCAAAGTGAGCCACGGAGGAGGGAAGGAAGGGGAACCTCTGCTCACAACTGCTCATGGATCCTCTGCTCACGACTGCAACAGATCCCCCCACCACCACCCGTAGGCATTCCCTCCATAACATGCACAGACATTTCCCCTTACTTTCTAGGAGGAAAAAAGTGAGTGTTATGGTGCAAAAAATACGGTAATTTTCTGTGATGGATACTATTGGTTTTTCTAGTGCATTGCACAATTGCATGGAAGCATAATTAAGAAAAGTTTGATTAATTATAAACTCCTAACTTGGGTTTTGTAACAGGAAACAGTACCAGCTTTGGCATAGGTTTTTTGGGGGAAGTAGGAGTGGGGCATAGAGATTTGCAGGTTTGTAGTTAGTGGAGCTATCAAGAAGCAAATTAATCATAAAACACAGGTCTTCACTATTCCAAGAGCAAAGAGAGAACAGTTAAGAAATAAACAATATTCTACAAAGAAAGACAACAATGGCTGGAAACAGAGATAATTTTTTCAGAAAGTTGAAGGTGGAATAATAAAAGCATTGTTCCCTGCAATGTGCATTCTCATTCCAGTATCATCTCTGGTAAACACACTTTGCAAGCTTTTTTGATGCTTTAAAAACAAGGGAAAAAAGTATTTTAAAACAGTAGGCAAGGGAAATGAATATGGATACCAAGGATAACAACTGCATCTATTAAATTACCTTTGATTTTATCAAATATGCACAATCTATTGCCCATGGCTACCCTCTACCAGCTTTTTCATGGGACATTGTTGAATGATACATTTGTTTGATTCATTCTTGTTATAGGCATCACTTTAAGTCTTGGATTTTAATTATAATTTAACACTATCTCTATACTTCTGGGAGAAGGATGGGTTGGGAAATAATGTAATTGCTGTTGCTTTTAGTTTTGTTATATTTGAAAATCACTAAAATAGGGGGAGAATGATATCATCCTTAATTTTTTTAACCGTTTCTCCAGCCTATCATACTCCCTCCAGCTTGCACAATTACTAGTCACAACATGCATATTTGAAATGCTGTCAGCCAAAGGAAACAAATAAACTCTTCTTTGTATCAGTACAATGTTAGCACAACAGTGAGCCCATACTCAGTACACAAATCCCCACATTTTTCACTGTAAGAAACACAAATCACGCATGTTATTTATGTGTCAGATTCTCCAGAGCTAATGCTATGATGCAGAAACATGCAATTCCCACAAAATATCCATTCGTAACTAAGTTAGAGAGAGAAAAGTTGCTCCATCTTCACATTTCAAAGATGTCTTCTACTCATACCATGTACAAAGTGGAGGGTATGGTTTTTTTTAAAAAAATCGCAGTTTGATATTACAATAAATAATAATGTTTTCCCTCTGAATCACCAGCTAGACATAGCAAACTCTAATTAACAACATGATGCACAACACCTCTTGGCACAACTACCCTTTTTCTATGAATAGGATGATGCAAGCACCCTTCTAACGCCAACTGAAAGAAACATCTAATTATAATTACATGCTAGCTTGATTAGAATCTCTTAATCACATCATGCTTTGTGAGTTTGCATGACCAAAAAGCCAAGAGAGGTTTTACGTGAACAAAGGCTGCAGCTGCACTGATATTATGCTACTCCTACTTGACAAAACTGCATATGAAAAGCATGAGCATAAAAGCAAAATAATAAGAAAGGAGGAGGAAAACACCAGCAACATTCATTTTTAAGCCATATTACCAAATATATCCAAGCTGGTTAAACTGCGTAATAGTGAATGTACAATTACTCATAGCAATATGTTTGCAAAAACATACAGTGCTATATGATCAACTCAATTACAGCCAGTAGAAATCTCTGCTTTTTCCATCTTATTTTAAACAGAATCAGCATTACAGGTAATTATGTCTCATGCCATATTCTGAAAGAGATGCAGGTTCAAAAGCATGCTCTTAATTTGGATATGCAGGATTGCATACCTGGATGAAGTTAATTACATAATTTTCATTCCCCCACATGCTGTGGAGTTGGTTTTAATATGAGACATGTTCTAGTCAGTGTGCAATGCAGATGTATCTTTATCTTCGAAAGTACCATTATTTTAAAAAGGAAATAGATTTATTGGGTAAAGCCTTCTGTTAATTCACAGTTAATATGTGAAACTTCAGGGACAGGTATTTGAAAGAACATTATGTGAAACAAGTGGGTATGATAATAAGAATACTAAAATAGAAGTGAATCTCAGTGCTTTTTTTCCCAGCTGGACCTCACCAGAACAGAGCTCCTTCACCTTTTTGGTGCGTTCCGGCAACTCTTTGTAGCACTGCTGGTGTTGGAGTGATCCCCCTAAAAAAAGCTCTTTTTCTAGAAAAAAAAGCACTGGTGAATCTGATATTGCTTTTTCAATATTTTGTTTTCCTCAGGGTACATTTCTGTTAATAAGCCTACTTATTTTCAATAGTACTACTATGCAGTAAGTAATTTGAGGATTTATTATCTTGTTTGTCTTCCTGATGCATGCAGAATGATAAGCCTACATCCTCTAAACCAGGGTGTTGCAAGAAATTTGGTTGCGAGTTGCTCTAATGTTGTTTCTAATGTTACATTTTTATGGCAATAATTTCCATAAATCTATCATAACGTAACATGAGAGCAAAATATATAAATAGCATGTAAAGAGAATGTGTATTTCACAGCTAAGATATGCCCAGTGAATTTCCCAATATGACTACCAAGAGGGTATTCAAGCTGCTCAGCACTAAACTATGAATAAATATAGTATATAAACCTTCTAAGAAAGCAGCTTGCTCCTGTCTTGATTAGATAGGGCAACACACACACACATACACTCTATCACCACTTACTTACTTACTTCCTATAATGGCAACTTAAAGGTAAAGGTAAAGGACCCCTGACAGTTAAGTCCAGTCGCAAATGACTCTGGGGTTGCGGCGCTCATCTCGCTTTACTGGCCGAGGGAGCCAACGTTTGTCCACAGAGAGTTTTTCCGGGTCATGTGGCCAGCATGACTAAGCCGCTTCTGGCAAAACCAGAACAGTGCACGGAAATGCCGTTTACCTTCCCGCCGGAGAGGTACCTATTTATCTACTTGCACTTTGATGTGCTTTCAAACTGCTAGGTTGGCAGGAGCTGGAACCAAACAATGGGCGCTGACCACGCTGCTGGGATTCGAACTGCCAACCTTCCGATCAGCAAGCCCTAGGCTGAGTGGTTTAGACCACAGCGCCACCCGTGTCCCATAATGGCAACTTATCCAGTCAAAATTGGGTCCAATTACTTGTGAGTAAGTCCTACTGAACAACAGTGTTGTCACTTCCAAGTAAATATTCATGGGACCGCACTTTAAGTTGGTTTTGGACACTGTACCTTAAAAACACCTGGTGTTCTGTGGCAAACAAAAGAACAAGTTCCATATCTGTTTGACTCCTCCAACCCAATGGGGAAGGGTTTATGGACCATCCACAGGACACACTAAGAAGAACTCACAGAGTTCAAGTCAATTCTGCTGAATATTCTGTTTCCCACAGGCATCTGGTAGGCCACTGTGGCAACATGATGCTAGACTAGATGGGTCATTAGCCTGATCCAGTAGGCTCTTCTTATGTTCTTATCTAGTGGTGGGTTACACCCAGGAATGTGGTGTCTCTCATTTCTAAAAGGGGCTGGGCTGAGCTTTGAATGACAGTGCCACTCTTAGCAGTCCTTAGGCTCCTAAACGCATTGCCCAGCTAAGCAATAATACCTCTATTGAAGATGGGTGAGGGGCTCCTGCTTCATGTCTGACCAGCAGATTATACAGCTGAAGCAAGTACTGTGTTTTTCCCAGTAGTCAAGCCCACAAGCCACTTTCACAGTACATTTTTGAATTTTAACACTGAACTTTGGGCCGTTGGTGAAAGTACTCCTTATTCTTTAATGTGAAACTTTCCCTTTAATTGTTGTTCTGTGCTGAGGCTGCCTCCAGACTGCCAGTATTTTGCCAAAAGGATTCAAGCACATACTGGAAAATTAGGTTTGCACAATTAAACTGGATTAAAGTTGCCCTGATGCAACACACCCACTTTAAAAGTGGACTTCTCATGGTTAGGAAAATGACAGGGATGAATGAATGATTAATGGGAAGTATGACTGCCACACAAACAAATCAGTATGAATGCTCATTTTCAAATACCCGCCTTGCAAACTAATCAGAATGAATTTTCAACAAAGACCAGACATGGTCTAACCTCTCCCTAAGATTTGTCCAAGCAAATCAAGATGAATGCTCAATAAACAGGTCATCTGGAAGAGCTCTGCATTTCATCTTCTGCCTCATCATCATTGTGTGAGAAACCCTTGCTTAGTCTAACTTGGGGAGGAGGGAGATCAACAACAACAGAAATAAATTAAAAACAGATTAGACAGGGTAGACCCAACGTAGACTGCTTTGCAAGAAACATAATGGGTTTTAGTAAGCCATTCCGCATTCCCTTTTAGACAGTGCTGTTTGTGAGACTTCCCCCCCCCCCCCGAAAATGCAAGGTAAAGTACACAGTTTACTTTACCTTTCAGACTGTGTAGTAGGAATGGCCTTGTCTAGGGTAAGTGTTAGCAGCAGATGTTTGATGCAACTCGGGTTGTACCAGTCTTTTCCTACTGCTGCCTTCAGTCAGTCCTGAGCCAAGCAGCAGATACTGATGAGATACAATCCAACCCTCTGGCTGGTCCTCACAGTCTACGTAAAGGACACTATTTTTTAGAAACAGTATTACTTGGGGGTTGTTTGTTGTTGTTATTTAAAGTTTGAACCACTGTTTATGAGCTCGGGGTTTACAGAGCATGTTGTATCTGGTTTGATTTGTACCCCAATTGCTCCCTAACATAGTAATGCCACAGCCACCATAGACTAAATATAGGAATATATATTTACATATACACACACACACTTCACACACAACAGCAACACATGCTGCATAAAACTGAACAGCGTTACCATTCTTTTCATCTCCT